TTTGAGTCAAAATTGACTAAACTTCACACAACATCTAATGAGTATATTGAGGCAGGCTTTGTAGATAAGACATAGGATGGGCAGCCCTGCCTCATCACTGATTCTGTTAACCCCCTAGAGTACCCCATGGATGATTAGGGAGCCAGATAGACCCTCCCATGACTGATGAGGCCAAAGGGATGTCCTTACCAAATTTCCTAGAAAAATTGCTGTCACAAAGAATGGAGCTATCTGGTGATCTTGAAAACGTTTTCTTTCCAAGCCTTTATTGAGCGTGTGCTATACATGTCCCTGGCCCTATTCTTTCAGGCCCTGTGTCTTGTTTAATCTTCACCCAGAGGATGGCAGTGATGATGGGAAACTTACTTCTTCATCATGAGAGCTGAATTCGTTTTCTCAGCTCTTCTACTTTCAAACATAGTTTAATGCAGGGGTGGGCATCATCAGGCCCACAGGCCTTATAAGTCCTGCGAAATCATTTGGTCTGGCCCTGCCAAGGCAGCCGCAGTTCCAGCCATCATTTGTTGTTCTCAAGTTCCATGGAGTCAGATCGGACTCATAGAGCTCCTGTAATGGGAGTAGTTGGTAAGTTTGAACTGCTGACCGTGCTTTAGCCTACAATGCCCTCACGTTATTGTTGTTGTTAAGAGCCATCAAGTCAGCTTCAGCCCATAGTGACCCTGTATAGGGTTTCCGAGGATTGGTTAGTGGGTTTGACCTGCCAACCTTGTAATTCAAACTGACCTTATGACCCATTGCATTATACTGCAATGCCACACCAGGACTCTATCACGTTGTTGTTTTTGTCAAGTGCCATTGGGTCGATTCCGACCCATAGCAACCAAAGAGCAGCTGGTGAGCTTGAACCACCAACCTTGCAATGTAAACAGCTTTGCTGTCTGGTGCATTAACCCACAGCACCACACCAGGACAGGAGTGAGTTAATTTAATGTTTGACCAAATATAGCAGGTTAATTTTTAAGTTGATAATTTTGTATGGCCTGTGAATTAGGTTATAAATGTTGGCAGAAAAAAAGGTTCTTCATCCCTGTTTTAATGGAAACAGCTTTACTTTATATATGTTGCAGGATAATTGTAAACAATTCAGATAATAAAAAGTAAAAATTAACCAATTTCCCACCATCCAGCTATCTTACAACTGTTGAAATTTTAGTATATAATTTTCAGGCATATATATATATATATATATACACAAAAAATGCACACCTATAATACAAATATGTATATATGTGTGTGCATATATGTGTGCATATGTATGTGTGTATGATGTTGTTTTTGTTGTTATGTGCCGTGGAGTCGGTTCCGACTCATAGTGACCCTGTACAGGGTTTCCGAGGCTGTAAATCTTTACGGGAGCAGAAAGCCTCATCTTTCTGCCGCAGAAAGGCTGGCAGTGTATGATGTTAGATGTTGTCAAATTGATTTCAACTCTTAACAATTGTTTCTGTAAAGATTACAGTCTAGCAAACATAATGGAGCAATTCTAGTGTCTCATGAGGGTGGTATGACATATACATACCTAAATTTTTTATGTGCTTCTTTTCAACCTACTAGGATATCCTAAGGAGCTCTGGTAGTGTGGTGGTTATCAGTCAGGATGCTAATGTCAAAGTCAACAGTTTGAAACTAGCAGCTGTTCTGTGGGAGAAAGATGAGGCTTTCTGCTCCCATAAGGGTTTGCAGCCTCGGAAACCATATACGGAGTCACTATGAATTGGAATGGACTCCACAGCATACCACCAGCAGGATATCATGGTGTGGTGCTGTGGGTTAATGTGCTGGACTGCAAAGTCTGTTTGAACCACAAGGTTGGTGGTTCAAGCTCACCAGCTGCTCCTGAGAAACCCTATACAGTGTCACTATGGGTTGGAACTGACTCGATGGCACTTTACAGCAATAACAACAGGATATCATGGACATTTTTCCATTAAAAATAAAAAGTAGAGACCTGCAGCACTGTTATAAATGTAAAGTATCCCATTTTCTAAATATAAATAAAATTTATTCTGCCAGCCTCTTAATTTTGAACATTTAGACATTGTGCTGTTATAAGGAAGCATCTTTTCACTGTTTATAGACTTTTCTAAACAAAGATGTGGACACAGCTATGCAAAATTGTCTGATTCTTTTCATAGGAAAAATGCCCAGAAGTGAAATTGTTGGGTTCAAGGGTACATACATGTTAACTTGGTCACATCTTGCCAAAATGCCCTCTAAGATGTTTGGACAGATTTGCCTTGTTGTGTGTGCGGCATCTCTACCCACTCAGCCTGTCTGTGGGAAAGTCACTACTGTGGCCCACAGCTCAGCCTCCCGTTCTGAAATAGTTGTGTGAGTCCCTGGGTGACACAGATGGTTAATGTGCATGGCTGCTAACTTAAAGGTTGTAGATTCGAGTCTACCCAAAAGTGCCTTGGAAGAAAGACCTGGCAATCTATATCCAAAAATGTAGCCACTGAAAACCCTATGCCCCACAGCTCTACTCTGACACACAAGGTTGTGTTGACCCAGCGGTCATTGGTAGTAACACTATTGTGGTTGTTGTTGTTAAGTACCGTCAAGTCAATTCCGACTCACAGCTGGTGGGTTTGAATTGACGACCTTGTTGTTCAAACCGACTTTGCATTCCAGTGCAGTAACCCATAGTGCCACACCAGGACACTATGAGAAACAATTATAGATGAAAAGATGCTACTAGGCACCTACTAAGTGCCAGACTCTGCGAAAACTTTTCAATAGATTCATCTACTACATAATTTAATTATATATATTAACTCTCATAACAGCCCTACAAGAAAGGTTCTAATACCTCCCATTTACTCTTATTACCTCATTTGTGAGACTCAGAAAGGTTAAGTAACTTGTCTTAGGGCACCCAGCTAATAAGTGGCAGAGCTGGGATCTAAAGTCAGTTCAGTCTAGTTTTAGAATCGGGATTTGTCTGTCCAGGGTGTCCCTCCTCCAGGTGGAGCCCGGGTGATGGTACATGTTAACCTTTGAGCACAGTGTTAGGGTATCACTATGACTCAGAGGGGATTTCCAAGAGGTCCTGGGAGTTTCCTCTGAGGATGAGCTAAGCTTTTCACTTTTGTTTTGAAAGTGAGGAAGCACATGTTGCAAGTCAGCATGATCTCCCACACTGAAATCACAAACCTACCCAAATCCCTCCACCTCAATGCCCATCTCCATCTCGGGCCATGTCTCCCTTGCTCCTGGGGGAAGTACCGCCAATCTTATCGTGTCCAGACTCTAACCAGCTTTAGCGCTTCTTTTGACTGTAAGATTCTAGTCCTCTGGGGTCTAAGAATGAACTCATGCTGGTCCACTCCTTATACTTCCGTTGCAGTCCTATTTATTTGGAAGTGGCTGAGCAATCTGAAATATGGCTCCCGGGGGCTGAAGAGAAGCCTCAAGCCACTGTGGCTTAAACAAGCCATTTCTCCCACAGGCAGCCAGCTCCCACGGCCCCTGTGTGTGAGAAGGGAGCAGGCGGGCAGCATCTGAGGGAGTGTAGCATTTTCAATTCCTTTCTTTACCCTTCAGGAAGAGATTTGTTATGTGTTGTTTTAACAGGTTGATGCAAAATAAATAAACAGAGATGGAGGGAGAGAAAGATGGATGGTTTTCAGTAAATAACCTTACAGTGGCCAGCAATTTGGAGAGAGCTAGTGAGGAATAAGTCTCCCACCTAAGCAATTGTGACAGGAGTGTTAACTGAGGGTCGAGAAGGGGAACACAAACACAACACCATGAAGACTGCCAGAGCACGTACCAAAGCAGTAAAACGTGTGTCCGCAAAGATAAAATGGCATATTCTGTGCATACCCTCCCATGCCCCTTGCCAGGAATGTCTTCAAGATGGCTGGTCCCCTCACACACACACACACACAGAGAGACCCCTGCTCCCTGGTGGATTCAATGTTAGGAAATGAATTGGCCTCAGCTTAGGGACACAGCCTGTTCTGCCTCTTGCTGAGAATAATAGTTATGTGCTGGGAGATGCTGTGTCCCTAGGGATTCACCCCTTGCTTTTGGAGAAAGGTTTTTATTGCCTTATCTAATATGATGCTGATTCCTTTAAAAAAAACATGTTGTTGACGAGACACTGCTGATATGAAGTTCAGAGTCATTTCGGGAAGGGAAATGACTGGCTAAGAAGTCCTTGTCACTAAGAAAGAAAAATAAGAGGGGAGGGCCCAGGAGAAAAATTTCTTGCAGGACAGGGAAATAAACAAGTAGGGCCAACACTTCCCCTGTGTGCCTGGCAGGGTGCCTAGTTCCTTAACCTATGTTTTCTCATTCCATCCCTTTCTCAACCCTCATCTTATCATCATTTTACAGATGAGGCAACTGAGGCCCAAAGGGGTCAAGCAACTTGTAAGAACACAGAATGAGGAGGAAGGGACTAAGATTCAGAGATATCACCAGCAGAAATAAAAATGATGCTACGGAAAGAAGAAGAAGAAAAAAAATGTTTGTTTTGAGATCTTTGATAGAGGGATGCTATGGCTCTCAAGTGGGCAAGAGATGAGGCTTTAAAATCCAACCAACATTTGCTCTGTGGCTTTAGTGAAGCAATTCTACTTCTATATCTATTTTTACCAGTCTCTACAAGGAAACCTTAAGTGCCCCTTGTTTAGCATTCTGAAACACCCGAATGTCTATAAGTGAATGAGAGCAAGCACTTCAGCTGGAGCGAGACAGTAGTCCCTTTCATCTCCTGTGACCATGAGTTGTCTGTCAGGAGTGGATTCCAAGTCTGGCCCCATGTGTCAGAGTAGAACTCTGCTCCATAGACCGTTCAAGGCTGTAACCTTTTGGAAGCAGATCTTCCAGCCGCTCTCCTGAGGTGCTTCTGGTGGGTTTGAACCACCAGCCTTTCAGTAGTAGTTGACTGCTTAAAGATTTGTGCCACCCAGGTACACCAATTACAGTATGACCTTTTCTCACGGGTGCCTCTCTTTGCCATCCTCACCTAGGTATGACTTCATTGAGATTCGGGATGGGGACAGCGATTCTGCAGACCTCCTGGGAAAGCACTGTGGGAACATTGCCCCACCTACCATCATCTCCTCAGGCTCTGTGCTCTACATCAAGTTCACTTCTGACTATGCCAGGCAGGGGGCAGGCTTCTCCCTACGCTATGAGATCTTCAAAACAGGTCAGTATGGTCATGAGTAGAGACCCAGGAGGTGGGCATTTTGGAGGACAACATGGGACATGGCCATCTGTGTGTGGCCAAATGGTGCTGTGTAAAGGCAGGGTGAGAAAGAGGGCTAAGGGGGCATAGACACTTGGTGGTTATGTTTGTGTACTACTGAGTAGATTTTGACTCATGCGAATCCTACAGGGCAGAGAAGAACTGCCTTATTGGGGTTTCCTGGGTTCCATTCCTTCGGTATGGATTGCATCTCAATGTAAAGAAAACAAAAATCCTCACCACTGAACCAATAAACAACATCCATATCAGTGGAGAAAAAATTCAAAAAAAAAAAAAAAAATTCAAGAAAAAATTCAAGCCTTGACTTTCATTATTGAAGGATTCTCTGGGCAAATTGTTGAATGATGTAGAAAGCATCAAAAGAAGATGGAAAGAAAACACAGAGTAACTATACCAAAAGGAAATGGTTGATGTTCAACCTTTTCAAGAGGTAGCATATGATCAAGAGCCAAAGATACTGAAGGAAGAAGTCCAAGGTGTATAGAAGGAATTGGCAAACAACAAGACACCAGGAATTGATGGAATAAAAATTGAAATCTTTCCAGAAAGTGAGACGGCACAGGAAGAACTCACTCATCTCTGCCAAGTAATCTGGAAGACAACTATCTGGCCGACTAATTGAAAGAGGTCCATATTTGTTCCCATTCCAAAGAGAGGTGACCTAATGGAATGTGGAAATCATCGGACAATCTCTTTGGTAGCCCATGTGAGTAAAGTTTTACTAAAGGTAATACAGAAA